GAGGGCGGGGGGCGAGGGGGGGGGGTGGTGGTTGCCAGTGGTTCGGAGGCTTGTGCCCCCCTCCCCGCTGAGGGGTGAGCCCCCGGGGTGGGGGGGGTGGCGGCGATCCCGTTTGGAGAGGTCCAAACCCCCCTGAGACTGAGGGACCAGCCAGCCCCGGGGAGGTCGCCTGGGGTGACCACCTCAGGTACCCCCCGGGCGATCGGCGAGTGCCCTGCCCCGAGCTGCAGATGGGCCACAGCTCTGAGGGCGGGGGGCGAGGGGGGGGGGTGGTGGTTGCCAGTGGTTCGGAGGCTTGTGCCCCCCTCCCCGCTGAGGGGTGAGCCCCCGGGGTGGGGGGGGTGGCGGCGATCCCGTTTGGAGAGGTCCAAACCCCCCTGAGACTGAGGGACCAGCCAGCCCCGGGGAGGTCGCCTGGGGTGACCACCTCAGGTACCCCCCGGGCGATCGGCGAGTGCCCTGCCCAGAGCTGCAGATGGGCCACAGCTCTAATTGGGTGGCGTTAATGGGCTGGGGAGGGCTAAGAGTTAATCAGCTAATGGGTGTTTTCGTGCTCGGCGGCACACGGTGCCGGGAGGGGGCGGGGGGGGGGTCATTAGTCTTGTCCTGCTGGAGGGGACGTGCTGTCCCCGGATCCCGCTCCCGGCTGGCAGCAGGGAGCTGTGCCCACACGACCTTGTCAGACGTCACCCCGAAGAAGCCCGTGTTTACAAAGCGCTTCTTCTGGAGGATTACAAATAAAACCCCGTGTCCGAGCGGGGAATGTACCCTTGTCCCTCCCAGGAACGGGCTGTCACCTGAACAGCCGCCAGCACAGCCCCATCCAGCAGTGCTCAGAGACCCGGGCGGTACCAGTGATGGTTGTGAAGGGGCATTGCCCCGACGCCTGTGCAAAGGCACCTTCAAACTTCTCTTTTCTTACCAAACTTTGTGGTTTGGATTTATTCCAGGCTCCACTAATGGCTGCGAGAGAACTTCATTTGCGTTTTTGCGCCAAGAGCTCCCCGTGAGGTTTGCAAACATCCTGAAAGAGATTGATCTTCTTCCCGATAAATTACTAGGAACTCCATCAGTCCAATTAGTAAAAAGCTGGTAAGTAAGAGCTGCTTGAATTCAGCTGGATGACTCTGTTGTCTCAGGCTTCTCTGAATAGGAGAGCACAATAAACAAAATAGACTAGAAATGCAGTTCCTCTGCTGAATTGCAAGCCGTTTGACACTGTCCTTTTCTAGCATACTGAAATTAAATTGCTAACCTGCATGGTTAGATTGGTATTTTTAAATAATAAAAAGAAAATAACACTTTGAAATAGCTGGTAGAGCAAATCTCACTTCTTACCCTTTAAGAAGGGGGAGAAGAGAACATGCTCTGTTTTCACGTGGCACTGCAGCCACACCAAAATGGGAGAGCAGGCTCTGGGCTGGTTTGAGGCTGTCACTGGTGGGATTACTCCAGAGCTGCTGTTCCATGGTGCCTTACCTTGGCTGGTGCTCCAAGGGTTGGGAATTGGGTTGATGCAATCTCTCTGGCTGACCCAGTGCCTGAGTCTGATTTACTGGCCTGTGCTTTACTGGCCGGGCTGCAGTGTTTGCAAGGGTGGCTGGCATAAAGGGCAAAAGTGTTACAGCTCCATGAACTGTTGTTGTGCCAGTGAACCCTTCTGCCCCTGCGGTGTGCGTCAGGGCTGTCAGATGCTGGCACAAGAGGCTCAAGTACTTAGCTCGTGCCAAAGCTGATTGGATTTGGAAAAAACTTGCTTAAGTGGCTTCCTAATCAATATTGCCATTTGGATCTTCTTTTAAAACACCTCTCTTAAGAATGGTAAGGGGATCCTGCATACCCAAAGTGAGGGTCTAGATTCCTTTCTGGGTGGCAGGCACAAGAAAAGACTTCTAAAACTTCTAAGGTTCAGGCAGTCAAGAAGTATCAATCTGTGATTCCATACTCAGAACTTTTAATAATTCCAAGATACTTCAAACTGCCAGCTGACTTGTAAGAGTAATGATTCAAACAAACTATTTTTCCTGTTCCCAGACTAATAAAAATCAAATGAATAACATATATTCCTTGTTCTCTTTTTCAACAGGTACATCCAAAGCCTAATGGAGCTTGTCGAGTTCCATCAGAAAAGCCCAGATGACCAAAAAGTCTTATCTGAGTAAGCGCTTCACTTTTTGAACTATTCAGTCTCACATTCTGCTTTTCCTAACGTGCCCAGTTTAGAATGACAGATCTCAGGAGCTTGATTTGATAATCCAGCGCAAAGTGCTGTGCATAGAGCAAGCTGGTTTAAATCTCTGCTCATGTTTAGCAACATTGCAAATAAATAAGACCTGTTGCAGCTCAGTTTCAAGGGCATACTGTCCCTTGAGCTGTCACAACAGAAATAACAACAACTATCTGGGATGTCACGTCCTGCTTCTTTCCAAGGCATCACCGGGGGGCTCTTTCCCTTCCTCACATTCACTGCTCAAACTGTTATGAAGGAGTAAACAGGCAGTGAATTTGACGTGGGTAGTGATCACACTTTTTGTATCAAAAATACCAGACTCTTCTGGTTTAGGTCAGTGAGGAATTACTTCTAAAAGAATGAAATAATAGGTTGTATTTTAAGATTACGGGTGTTATGCCCTTATTTGTGCTGCTGGGTTAGGTAATGACACTGTACAAAGCTTGTCTCCATGTAGGCTTAGAGTAATGTTCTAAAAAGATCTCTTTTTTCTTGGTCTAGTTTTATAGATACATTAATTAGAGTCCGAAACAGACACCATGATGTGGTTCCTACAATGGCACAAGGAGTAATCGAATACAAGGACACTTTTAAAGTAGACCCTGTCACCAATCAAAACATTCAGTATTTCCTGGATCGTTTTTACATGAGCCGTATTTCCACCCGGATGCTAATGAACCAGCACAGTAAGTAGAAAGTTTTGCCTGAGGAAAAACTCCAACCTGCTGAGAAATGTGTTAATGTAAACATTTCTGATAAGTGCTGGTGATCTGCCTCGGGTGACGTGCTGTGACACTGGAAAGTCAGAAATAGAATGTGTGACTTGGGAAAGTAATGGGAAAACTTGTTTTCTAGAGTAATTGTAGTTAAGTTGTGTGTGGAATATGTGGGGGGGTCTTGTTCTTTACACCTGAAAGGCCTTCAGATGTTGAACTACAGAAAAGCCAAAACAGTTTGCTGGCAATAAATGGCATTTTTAACTCGCAAAAGGCAGAAACAGCACTCGGTATTTTGTGACTCTTGGGATCACGCTGTATGAGTCTAAATTTAATACTTTTTAAAAATAGTAGAGTAGTTGGGATTAAACATAGCCTTGTTTTCATTTTAAACAGCTCTTCTTTTTGATGATAAATCTGGCTCAGGACACCCAAGGCACATTGGGAGTATTGATCCTTGCTGTGATGTCGTTGAAGTGGTGAATGGTAGGTATTCTCACGTCCTCAACATTTCTCTTCACCAGCAGCATTTAGATCTGATTGCAGTAATTCAGGAAACCAACGCCTGTGGTATTAAGATGCTGGCTGTTTATTACTGAAATAGCTGGAAGCAGCCTATCCAAATAGTCAAACACAGGCTTTTATAGGACATAATTTAAAATACAAACTAGAACTAAAAGCTGTGTTGAGGTAAGGCAGAGTGAGAGATGAGGTAGGAGTTAAAGTTGTTGCTGGTGTTGGGATTGGTCTTACCCACTGATCATACCCACTGGTGCATCTGTTCTGCAGAGTTACCAAACTTCAGAAGGTTTGCCTGTGCTGCTGGAATGGCCAATTTGCTCTGTTTTAGTGCACAGTGGGTGCAGTATTACCATTCCTCTGAGGCACAGGCTTGGTCAGTCTCTAACACCTCAGCAGCCAGTGCAGTTAAAAATCATTTTGCTGTGTGTTAGAATGCATTTCAACAGTGTTTGATGTGATGTGTTTTATTTAAATAAATATTTCAGATGCTTTTGAGAGTTCCAAGATGTTGTGTGACCAGTATTACTTAACGTCTCCAGAACTGAAGCTTACCCAAGTGAATGGTAAGATGAGAGCTTTAATGTTTGTCTTCCTGTCAGCAGCTAAACTCCTGCTTTTCCTGCTTTTTACTGCTGCTTTTTTGATTCAGTCCAAAGGCTCCCAATTCCATAGCTGTAACACACCAGTTGATCTGTCTTGGGTTAGTTCCTTGTCATTTTCTGTTGTGAGCACCTCATTTAATCCCCTGCATTAGAACTCAAGTGTCATTGTGTCTTAAAGACCAGATTTTCAAAATAAACTGGTTTTAAGCAAGTGGCAATTACAATCTAAATACTGTTATGAGTCCATAAAGTTGTTTGCTCATTGGAGGGGAGGGGGGAACCCCAAACTAAGACTTGATTTCTTGTTTGTTTTGAGATCCAACTTGCTTATTGTAAAAATTGGATACAATACAGAAATTCCATCACCATTTTAAATGTTGTTTGTCTTTTTTTTTTTTTTTTCCCCTTTCCTCTAGGAAAACATCCAGGAGAGCCAATTAACATCGTATACGTTCCATCTCATCTCTTTCACATGCTCTTTGAGCTCTTTAAGGTATGTCAGTACACATTATTTCTTCCCTTAGTACTCTGAGCTGGAGCATCAATATTTAAAATATCCACCTAGATCTGAATGAAGTAAAGCTGTGCATAAGACAGTGAGACCTCTAAAATGTAATTATCTGAGGAAATAGCTTTGGTGGTGGGGAAAGGAAGGATTGCAGTTTGTAGGAGAGTATTTGGGTATTTGGAGGTATTTGTGGGGTGTAAATGGGACAGGAGAAGGGAGTGAGAGAGTAAAAGTGGGATGTGGTGTTGTGACCACAACCAGCCATCCCTTTTCAGGGATTTTACTGCCTTTTGTGGAGTGGGTGATGCATCTTGAGGTAGCCAAGCTCACATGCTTCCGATGAGAGGTGCAGAATTCAGGCAGCTTTTAGCCATTGCTCAACTCTGACTTTCAGGGAGTTACATTTAATTTCCACTGGCTGGGCTATGTTGGGCAAGAACAGTGTCATTCTTCAGGCACAGAAGTCTTGACTGTGCTTGGTCACTTGTAGATATGAGGCCCCTTTTGCTCCTCTTCCTGGGAAGCTGGGCACTGGTGGGAATGGAGGGTAACCCTGCTCAGCCTCTGCATAACTGGGGTATGATTTTAAGTGCATAAATGCAACACTTTCTGATAATGGTACCCTTCATTTCCATAGAATTCAATGAGGGCAACTGTTGAGTTCCAAGAAAACAGCCCTTCCCTTTCTCCAGTTGAAGTGACAGTTGTTCTGGGACAAGAAGACCTGGCAATTAAGGTACTTTGTTGGTCTACTCTGGTATGGGCTTAATGTAGTCTCTGTGATTGCATATTCTGCTGCAAAGTCTGTAAGAACTTGCAGCCTCTCACAGCAGATCAAAGATACTATCCATGATGGAAGGGTTTGTTCAAATAGCAGCATTTTAAATACCATTCTTAGTACCTGACTGTAGTTAACTTCATTCTCTCTCAACTCAGATCTCGGACAGAGGAGGTGGTGTTCCTGTCAGGAAAATCGAGCAGCTCTTCAGCTACATGTACTCCACGGCCCCGCGGCCCAGGATGGACGACGGCCGAAACACCCCTCTGGTAAGATATTTTCAGTGCTTGTGTTACTGGTAAAGCTGCTAGAAGTGTTTGGACTGACTGGTAGGTTAATAAATTACAAAACTCTGTTCACCCTACTGCTCTGCGGGGTGTGTAAAGATTATCAAGCCTCATAAATACGAATGAACGCTTTCTGAATCAGGCTTTTAATATTGAGCTTGGTGGACAAAAATACGCTTTTAAAGATAAAAGAAAGAAGAACATCATTCTACTCTGAATATAACCCTGGTTTTTCTGTTTGGTGGTTTTTTTC